CGACATCGTATGTCTAGATTTCCTACATTATCAAAAGGGATTGTAGGACCGTATTTAACATTCAAGCAAAAAAGTTTATACTGAAATTTTATCAACAATCTGGGCATCATTCGGGCACAAAACTAGTCACTAATAAATAAAGCCAGTTTTGTAGCCAGACCACGAGACAACGACACTTGACATTTCAATTTTTCGCCAAGTGTCACGCCACGTAGGCGACAAACAGGTATTATTGTGACACATATGATGCTAAGTAAGTGAAGTTTGGATAGATTTTAAAGATAAATATGTTGTATAGAGTTTTATTATCGATATACTTCTAATATTTCATATGTACAAAATTAATCATAACTTTTAATAAATATCTTATAATTCGGTACTATTTCCATCATAAAAATTCGTTTTAAAAAGTTCATTAAAATAAGATCCATGTTAATGTATTTAATTTATTTACAAAAATAATAGAGAACCAGTGAAAATAAGTTTTAATCATGAAAAATAATTTCTGTTTTGGTTATTAAAAATACTTTTAATTTAGTGAAAATTAATTTCAGTTCAATAAAAATATCAGTTCAGTATGTCTAAATATCCTGCATTATCAAAAGGGATTATATGATCGTATTTAACATTCAATCCAAAAAGTTTATCCTGAACTTTTACTAACCATATAGGCATCGCCCAAGCACAAAACTAGTATATATATATATATAAGGGGAGTTTTTCTCGAGTTTTAGAGAGCCACGTAGGATAATATTTTCTAAAAGCGCCATGTAGGATTAAAATTTTTAGTGATAGCCAATCAAATAAGAGATTTGTAATTCTTTTAGAATTAAATAATTTAAATGTTACATAAACAAAATTGCCGAATGAGATTTTAAAGTTTAAATATTATCTTTTGAAATTAGGAATTTTATCTAAATATATAACGAATGAGAAGAAATTCCAATTTATTTTAAAATAAAAATATTAAATGATATGCTACATACAACGAATAAAATAACAAATTTTATCACATAAATACAAAAAATATTTATTTTAAAAAATACAAATAAATCGTGCATCGCACGGGCTTCATCTAGTAGAGTAAAAAAAATTAGTAGTTTTGGTGAGTTTTTATTTTTGCAAATTTATAAAGAAAATGAGAGAGGGGAAGAAAGAGGAGTATACTTTAAATGGAAAATTCTTAATTGGTGCTCTACACTTTGACTTTTATAATTAGTAGTCAATTTTTCCAATTATCTATCTTTACTTGTTATGTAATTTTAACTTGGAAAATTCTAATTGATAGCCTTGTACCTTTGACCTTTATTACTGATAGCAATTTTATTATTTTTTTATTATTATCAATGGTAGTTGTGAACTTCCGAAATTTGTCAAACGTGACATTAGTGATTATTTTTGGTTAAAATTTTAGTTAAATTTGACATTTTTAACTAAGGTTAACCTTTTCACTTGTAATAAATAAATATAAAAAAAAAAAAAGCAATTACCTTTATCTCATATTCCTCCATACTCAAAACTCTTACCTTTTTTCACAAAAACTATCGGGCACCACTTGATAATGCTCTTATTTGATAAAGAGCTTTTAGCTTGTTGATTTGATCATATGAAAAAGTTTATTAAAGAGGTTTTTGTGCTCTATAAGCTCTTTATGAAGAAAAAAAAATCAATTAGCTTGTTGAACATTTAACTATTTTGATTGTTAAACACATATACATCTAACACTTAACAACTATCTACTATAAAGTTTTACACAAACAATTGTTTACAACCTAACCTGCTAGTCAAATAAGATAATGCAACCAGCTACTCAAATTAGTTAATACAACTAACTATATCAATTAGCTACCAGGTAATTACTAAACAGGACCAACTAATGACAAGGCAACAAAGAAGGTCGACACACGACACACCACACACCCAAAATTAAGCCTAATGATTTCTTAGTTTTTTAAAAAAAAAAAATCAATTTTCTTAAAATTTTCTAATTGAAATATTTAAGTTTAGATTTTAATTGGATAGGGGCAATGATAATAAGGGGTGAAACTAATATGGTTTAAAACTGTAACGAACTGCAGAACAAATCGAATTAGTAATGTGGTTCGGTTTTTTGTTAATATGGTTCAGTGCGATTTGAGAAATAAAAAAAAAATTGCACTTTGCGATTTGGTTTTGGTTTTAGGATTTGAAAAACCAAAATATAGGCCCATATTTAAATTATAGCGCAAATCTTATTTTCAGCCCTACTATATAAGGCCAAAAACAAGTAATGTTGAGTTAGGCCTAAAAAAGTTACAAACATATCAAAGCTTAAAACACTAGGCTAAAAAAATTGCGGTGTGTTTTTTTTTTTTTTTTTTTTTTTTTTGAAAAGTGAATTAAAAACGGTGTGATTTGATTTGGACCGTATAATAATATGGTGCGATGCAGTTTTAAAAATCTCAAACCGAATTAATATGGTTTGGTTTCGGTTTGGGCTATAAATCACACTGCAAACCAAACTTTCACCCCTAATGACAATGGCTGATAAACGATCTAGTAGTAATGACTTTATGGTAGCAAGTTTGGGGGAGGGGATGGAGAAAGAGGAGGATAAAGGGAGAAGATAAAGTGGATATTTAATAGATAAGAGAAAGTGAAGGTTTGTTAATGCTAAAGTGATGGAAATTTTGAGTTCAGGAGAGAGAAGTACAAAGTGAGGATGGGAGTAAATAGTTTAACCATGGTTATCTAACATTAGATTTAACATACTTTTAAAAAGAAAATTTTCACTAATGTCCTGTTTTTTTTGGAAGGAATTTTCACTAATGTTCTTTATATGTAAATGTCAATTCAAAGTAAAGGTCTACCAATCATAATCGATAACTTTTTATTTTTTATTTTTTATTTATAGATAAAAGTAAAAAATAAAAATAAAAAAATACCAGTCTACCAATGAGAATTTCCCTATTGACTTTTCTATGAAATGATATTCGTGAATATTTTAAGCTATAAATTACTCTGAATATTATATATAACTTTGATTATAGATGTGGTTTCAAAATCTATTAAATACAAGGTTAACTTTTCTCAATCCTTACCTCTCCTTCGGCCCTTCCCACCGCCACATTATTCTAATCACTCTAAAAAATCCTCCCAACCACACCACAAATCCTAAATCCTCTCCTTTTGAAATCCCACTCAAACACAATTTCAACTCACTATTCATGCATATACCACTTCATATTCTTATTTTACCTTCGCCCTAGCATATCTATCTATTTGCCACTATCCGTTTATCCAATAATCACCCCCTCGAACGTCAAGGCCACAATGACATTTCTATTCTCAATGACAATAACAGTACAATTGTTAGTACAAGACTTAATCTTAAGTTTACCATTAACTAAATAGAAATTCTTACAATCATAACTACCCGTAGTTATAATTTCTTACTCAATTTTTTTTTTTGGAAAATTTAACAAGAACAAACCAACCTTTGCTTTATTCTCTCAAAATGCACCAACCTTTAAATCTTCCCAAACTAAACCCAACTTTGTATTTTTTTCTCCCGTAAAAAACCCAAATGACTTATGACCTGAACAACCGGTCATTTTTTTTAATTTCCTTTTTTTCTCATTTAATTATCCTTTTTAAATTAAAAAATTAACCAAAAAAAAAAAACTCAGACCACCGCCAGCTCTCCTCTTCCACCCACTGCCAGCCATTCCCCCTCCCTCGCCTTACTGGCGGCCGGCGCCCAACCCACCCCTAAGCGCTGACGACCTCACTCCCTCCCTTTCCTCCTCTTCCCCCATCCAAAATCGAGGAAACCACCCTAAATGGGTGACTTGCGATTTGCTCTGTTTTGCGATGACAGGGAAGTTGTGGTTTGGTATAATTGGCGCGTGGCAGCCAGGTGAAGTTGGATGCATCTATATTGATTGGTGATGTGGGCTGATATGGTGGCCGGATTTGTGCAGCGGTGAGGGTGAAGTGCAGCGTTTGGTGGCTGCTTTTGGTGCGTGCAGGGGAGCATTAATGTGTTTGGTGGTTGAGGGAATTTGGGGGTAATTAATGTGAGAGGAGCAGCTGGGCGGTGGTGTTAGGTGTTTGGTGCGGGCTGTTCTGTTTTGGTGCGGTGGAGTGCAGGGAGCAGGAGAGTTGTGTGGGTTTTTTGTGTGTTGAGGTGTTGCTTGCAGTTGGGCGCCAGCCGCCGGCAGGCCGGGGAGGGGGTAGCTGGTGGGGCTGCCAGTGGTGGGGAAAGGGAGGGTTTTTTTTTTTAATTTTAATTATTTGATTTTAAAAATTAAAATAAATAATTTTTGTTAATTATCAAAAAATATTTTTAAAAAATTAACTAATGAGGACATGGTATGTGGATTGGAATTTGGTATAACAGGTCAAGTGACCTGGGAGAAAAAAATACAAAATTTGATTTACTTTGTGAAGATTTAAAGGTTGGTGCATTTTGGGAGAATGGAGCAAAAGTTGCTTCGTTGTTGTTAAATTTTTCCTTTTTTTTTTGGAAAAATTTCCACTTTAATTAAGTTGAATTGTACAAGTGTTTATTTTTACTAATTCTTATAATTGATTTATTTATTAATGTCCGAGCTACAAACACGAAGTATTTCCTTTCACAAGTTCAAATTTTTTTTTTAACAAATTCAATCTAAAAGATAACTAATTTTTTTTTCCAGAGCATTTTCTATTTGGTTAGCTACATCGTGTGGCCAACTGCCACACACCAAAACACAAACCGGGTAATTCCCGTCCGATCGAGTAACCCTTGACTCCGAGAAATTCCTGATTGAGTGAGTAATCCTTGACCAAGTAACCCCTGACAATGAGTAACTCTCGATCAAGTAACCGATCCCCGGCCACACAGAATGGTCAGCCACATATAACCTTTGTAATTTTATTTTATTTTTTTAAAAAAAAATTATGGACATGGTAAAAAAAAAAGAAAATCAATGAAATGATGCTAAGTTGGGACTAGTGGGAACAAGTTTTAAAAAAAGTAAAAAAAAAAAAAAAAAAAAAAAAAGTCTCCTCCAAGGCTCCTACTCTTCTCTTCTCTTCTCTGTCCGACGGCCCATTTTTTCCCAAAATTTCCAAATTTTCTCTCTCCTCCCCCTTTCTCTCTCTAGATCACAGTCCTCCATTGTCGTCTCCTTCTTCAAACCTCCATTGTTGTTCCTTCTTCACTGCAATTCCATCTCCAACGATCCTCCATTTTCTCTCTCCTCCATTACACTCCACTCCGATCTCTCTTGAGGAGAGAGAAAAATCGTCGACAATTCGCAGATTAGGTTTCCTCCATTTTTCTATCTCTTCCTTGGATCTGAGCTGCCATGGCGCTTTCCGGCATGAGAGGTCTTTCCGTCTTCATTAGCGATATTCGTAATTGCCAGAATAAAGAGCAAGAACGTCTTAGGATCGATAAGGAGCTCGGCAATATTCGTACCAAATTTAAAAATGATAAGGTTAGGGTTTTTATGTTTTTGATTTGTTATTGTTTTTTATTTTATTGAGATTATATGCAGTTAATTTAGTGATTTTGATGTGTAATGTTGTTCAATTTGGTGTAAATTATTCAAATTTGAGCTCAATTTGGGGAATTTTTAATTGTGGAATAGTGAATTGTCAATTTTGTGAAGGTGGTGGCGAAGTCGGCACTGATGCCTGAATGATTGATCTTTATTGCTCACCTTTTGTTTATCCTTAGTGATGCCTGAACAATGGAAATGTTTTGGGAAACTAGAATGTATAGAGTTGGTATCCTTAGATTTTGGTACTTTTCAAGCTGTGCTGCTGATATTCAGGCATTAGATCACTTAATTGCTTTTTAGCTAGTCGAAATTGTGACCAGCGCGATGGGAAGGGGGAAATTGAGCTCCATAAACACTTCAGGTTTAGTGTTTTGATGATGACATATGTGAATTCGTGTAGTGTATGTATTACACATTCCCTCCCGTTTAGAAAAAATACTCGTGCATACTTTTTGGAACGTTTGGAACCAAATGTTTAATTTTTAAAGATATAGATAGAAAAAGATTATGGTAGATTTTCAAACATAATTTGTTGGGAGATGTAGAGAAGGAGATAACTATTATAATGGGTTTATATAGATTATGGTAAATATATAATTTAATTGATTTTTTTTTTTTTTGTTACAAACTTACAGTGAGACGATAAATTCCAAACAGAGGGATGACATGCCCTAAGGTGTCAAATACGTGCTTTGAGACACCAAAATTTAACTTGGTTTACATTATGAGAAGAACTCCAGAGCTGTTTAGTGAGACTTAAAGAGTGGCAGTCAGAAAAGTGAGTCTGTAGTTACTAGCTTCATCTTCATCCAATATATTCTAGGTAAGGACTAGGCCTATTTAACTCCCCCCTCTTGCTGGCAGCATATGCTAAAATGCAAAATTGCTGAATTTCATGGGGCATTTTTATTTCTACCGGTTAAGATCTAATTGGGAGAATGTGAATTGAGAAATATGGGGAGAATCTTGTGGGATACTGAAGATCTAATCTCTACCAGTTAAGATCTAATTGCTGAATCTTTGTCGTTAACCTTTAGTTTTGGCAGATTGGCATTTGTATTTTGCCAAACAACCAGTTGTGAAAGAGTTAGGAATGACTGAATGAATAGTGCAAAGGTGGATCCATCATGTGACTTGGGAGTTGGGGCGAATGTCATATCTGTTATTAGTATAGTACTATGGTTTATTTCGATGTAAAGACAGTGTCTTTTGTTATTTCCAGCAATCAATCTATCAGATTTCTTAGGGTTTCTTGTTTTCTCCCCATTTTGGAGTAGATTTTGAGGATTTGATGGGTAGGAGATGTATCACAATAGGATTCTAGTGGTTAAGATGATCATCTATCTTTGGGTGGTCATTGATGAAATCTAATTTTTGACTGTGAATGGTGTCTTTGAAAGGCTAAAAGGTCAAGTTATCTTATGGTAGTTGTCAATCTCTTTGCTACTGAGGGAAGCATTAGGCCCCCCTTTTTGAATTTGATTTTGTAATAATTGATGGATAGTCTATATCATAATGGGATTCTGGTGCTTAAGATGATCTTTGTTTAGGTGGCTGTATAGTGTTGTAGGCAGGGTTTTAAGTAACATGAGAAATTTTCAGGGTATATATCCTTTTCATCCCTCCAAACAATGTAGTTGTGTCATCATTTTTTTGGTTAGCAATTAATTACTTTCTCGGTTCCCCCGATATTGCAACATGGAGAGAAGGCACATATTTTAAGACGAGGAGAGAGATAGAAAGAAAGCTTGTGCAAATAGGAAAATGTTGCAATATAAGTGAAACTTTCTAAAATGGTAATTGTTGCAATATTAGGGAATGGATGAAGTATTTGCAAGAGCTTAATTCAAGACTTTTTACAACCTAAAGCAAATTATAGTGGTTAACTAACATTCTAGGAAGGACCCTCCACCAACACTCATGCTACCCAACTAGCAGGCCTTGTCAAGGCAAAACATGCTAAATTTCATCTTGTTTACAATTGCAAAAACCACTCTCTATCCTACTATTTACCTTTCTTTCTATCAAAGAACTTATTTTTTGTAAAATAATATATTCCAAGTAATGATATATTGAATGTGCTCTACAAGAATCTCAGGCCTCATGGCAGATTGTTTTCAAAGCTAGTTGTTTCTAATTCTCCATATGCTCATTATAGTTTAGCAAAGCCAACAAAAGCATTTAGAGCCACTTTCTCATAGTTAATTTTCATCAAAGGTTATGTAAATGGCTAATTCTATGCTAGCGTTGCTTTCTTTATTTTTCATATTCCCATTGGCCCCCGGTTTGTTGTATACTTGGCCCTTTTATCAATTCTTAAGTGTTTTACATTTATTTCTTTTTGGCATTGTCCTTTTATTCTTTTGAGTTCTGACTACATTCCATTTTAGTCAACATAATTTAATTTTATTTATTTATATATTATATGATCTTATTGCCTATCATTGCTAGCTGCTAAGTTTAGTATTCGTGTATTCTAGTAGTTTGTATTGATTGTGATTTCCTAAATTACTTCAAGGAGTTTTTGTGCAAACATTTAGGGGGCATTTGATTTGTGATATTAGGTATGAGGTATTGGTTTGGAATGAGTAAAACCTATACCTAATGTTTGTTTAAGAAAATTCCATTTTCTAAACCCATACCTCAAAGCCACAAAGTATGGGATTCAGAAACCATGAATGGAGGTGGGTGTGGCTCATACCAAACCTCTAGATGTCAAATAAAAAATAAAAATAATCCGACAACATCCAAACACAAGGTATATGAATAAAGTTCCAACCCCCATACCTCTCTGATTTCATTCCTAATTCCAAAGTCATACCACTTTGTGAACTAAGCGTCCCCTAAGGGGTTTTGAAAGTAAAATGTGCAACTTTTTGTAAACATGTGGTGTTTGGACATCATACAATTGATGGTTATCTGTTGTTGTTTGCATATAGACCACAAATATTTGTTGAAAATAGTATAACCCACATAACCATGAGGCTCTGTTGTGTCAATTTTGTTTTAGGTTGTGGCTAGTTGGCTACTATTAGCTTTTAGTTTGTTATATCCTATGTCCCATAGTGATTCACTGTTGGGATTGTCAAGTAGATTAAATAGCTGTTAAATGTAGAATGAAAAATTGAGAGAGAGTGTTATTGATGAAATGGAAAGTGTGAACTTGAATTCTGGGATGGATGAAGTAGTTCAATTGGATCTATTTCCCTAAAAAGTACCAAGGTGAGCCCTTTTATCAAACTCATGCTTTGTTGGTTTGATGCCAACTGCAAGCTTCCTGATTCAACAAAGAAGAATTCAAAGACCATATAGTGGTAATGAAGAAAGAAGTATATTACAAACAGATCGGAAGATAATTAGGCTCCGGAATTCCTCTTTTACTATATGGTATCATCCTGCGGATTTTTCTTTCATAACCTATAGGGTCAAAGACATATCTAAGACCACAAAGTCAAAATGTGCAAGGTTTCTGATTTACTAAACTTGAACTCTTATTTTCTTCGTCCTTTGTGTGTATCTCTATGTGGACCCATAGATTTGACTTCCTACCACCCAAGCCCCTCCTCTTCCTTTTTATTTATGTTCTGCATAATCCCTACTTCTTTCAATTATATTTTGTGAATCAGCCCTATAATTTTCTAATTGTATTGCCTCTTGTGTTTACATGCACTCACCTTATGCCATAGTTGCTGTATGCTGCTTCCTTGCTGACAGTGGCACATCTAGGATTGCCACTAAATTCAGACCTATGTTAATTGGACACAACATTTGGCCACTATACATGTGTGCTATGATCTAACACCAATGTGGGTGCAAAATACGGGGTCGGGGTAGCTGGTAGCACTCATATGGGGGTGGGGAGGCATGAAGATTTGTATCTAGTTTTTAATTGACCTATTTTTCCAAATCTAGGTTTAATGAAAAAATCTTAGAGCTACAAATTAAAAGTATTTTCCATCATATCAAGAAGACAATTTTTGGGGCTTTTGTTTGCGGGGGCAGGTGAATAAAATGCAGTGGTTGATACTTGGGTATTGACGTTTTGTTCTCAGGTGATGGCCATTGTTTTAACTTTTCAATATAATAATGTCTCATACATATAATTCTTGTAAAGATTTAAAGATGATGTATGCGTCCAAGTTCCAAATTTTATTCTCTTTGGTTTTATTCTATGTTATTTTTTTCTTTAAAGTGCATCCCTTGTAGAAAAGTTTTAAAAGGTTGATTTGAATGGAGTTCAATTTTGTCTAATAACTGGACTTTACACTATTCACCCACTCTCCTTTGACCATCAATTGTGATTTATACATAAGGAAATATATAGCCCGGTGAGATCTTGTTAGGTTCGTCTTAATATATACATTATTGGTTAAAGTTGTGTTGGAAAGTGTAAAGGTCAGCATGTTGCAATATTAAGGAAACAGGGGAAGTATTATTTGATGAGATTCAAATAAGAATTTGGGTCATTATCAACAACCAATTGGGTTCACTTGATCTCATATTGTACAATGTAGCTCCACCCTTGCTTCCTAGTTGCTGTCAATCATCAGACTGATAAATCAAGCACAGCATATCATATTATCAATAGTTTGAAAAGTGTTTTGCAAATGAGGCGGCATCTTTTGGGTCAAAGTGAATCCATTTCCCACCCTAGTTTCTTTATTTGATGATGTGGTTAATTTTTCATCAACCACCCCGCTCTTTTGTTCTGCTCATGCTAAAGGAACTTTCAGTCACAACCTGTTCATATGAACTTTTATCCTTAAGCGTGTGACATTTCTAAATTTGAGCTACCACCTTTTTTTAACTTTGTAGGTAGTTGTTTTGATCTAATAATATGTTTGCTTTGACAGGTTATATCTCCTTATGAGAAGAAGAAGTATGTTTGGAAAATGCTTTACATATATATGCTTGGTTATGATGTTGATTTTGGTCACATGGAAGCTGTTTCTCTGATATCTGCACCAAAATATCCAGAAAAGCAGGTAATCTTGTCTTCTCTTTCTTCCTTCTTGTACACTTTGTGCAGCCTGCAAAAGGCACTATATTTAATATATTGTGTATTCGTTCAGTCTGATAAAATTACTGGCTTTCATTCATGGTTTAGTAGGAGGAACTAAATAATAATTATATTTGTATTAGAGTAAGCATGTTGAATTGTTTGTATCATTTTTATGTCTTCTGTTGGATATTGTAGGGTATAGCCGTATAGCCTCACTAATTAATGCCCGTGTATGATTTGGTTTCAAGCTAACCACATTATTTGTATGCTTTCCACAATAAACTGCTGATTCTTTGAGCCACTTTTGTTGATGAGTGATCTGGTTCTTTATGGCTGCAGGTTGGTTATATAGTGACATCATCTTTACTCAATGAGAATCATGATTTCTTACGGCTAGCTATTAATACCGTACGCAATGATATCATTGGACGCAATGAAACTTTCCAGTGTCTAGCCTTGACCTTGGTATGTTGCTTAGCTTGCAGTATTTAATTTGTTTTTTTTGCCATAATTTACAATTTTATTGGCTTTCTGTTAAGGGTTCCAATTTGGGCTCACTACTAGTCTTCAACAGAATGCCAGGGCTTCTGTCTGCAGTAGATACATCTTTCATCTGCACTCTTGCATCATGTTTCAAATAATAAATTAATAGTTATACAAGCAATGCCAAACTGCTTCCTAGGATTAGACTATAAATTCTTCCATGAGGGTGTTTGGTTGAGGAATCTAACTGTAGATTGGACCCCGAAGAGTAGATTCGACAAGTCCATCATCTTATCAATGGTTTTTGGTATCTATTTGATTGGATGTAGCATATCAGGATTATTTTGCTTTATAACGATTATAAGTTATATTGAACAATTACTTGTTTGAATGTAAATTAGTCTTTTATTTTCTATTTGCACATAACCTGGTAATTAAGCCTTCGAATGGAGGCATTGATCTCATAGCCACTCCTTGATAAAAAATGATATAACCCTATAATATTCTGTCTTCATTATGGCTTCCCTTTACCATTTTTCATTTGATTTGATTAAATTTTTAATCAAATCCCTAGTCCATTCCAAATTATAATCCTCATTTGTATAGCAAATTGTTTTTGTAAAAAAAATAAATAGAAAAAAAAAGGTAAAACAGTAGTTACTCAAATAGTGATTTAACCAATTTTCAAAAAGCTAACAGAAAAGATTAGTGTGTATAAGATTGTTTTATAAAGGTTGATGGATATAAGATCAATATGAGAAAAAGTGAAATTATGTGGGTGGGTGTAAGGAAAAGGTGAATAGAGTAAGAGAGAGTGTATGAAAATTTGCAAATATCGGGAGGTAAGAGGGGTAAGATGGTAAAGGGAGTTTGCCAAACTAGAATGAGGTAAAGTGAGTAAAACAAAAGGCACAACCATAAAACCAGGTACACCCTCTATTTCTTTTGTTCCTCTTGTATTCCCTATTAGGAAAAAATTTCTATCACTCACTCCGTTTTTACTTTTCTAAATTGACAGTTTTTTTTAAGTGCATCACATCCTTTGTTGGACATCTTCTTTATTATTATTTTATTTTTTTTATATCTTTCTTGTCACGGAAAAAAAAAAACTATGTCTCTCCTCTCACATCCCTTAGATTTTAGTAAACTATTACACCACTATATCTTTTCCAATTAATGTTAATTCCCATCAAACCCTACTTAATGTTTTACTCCATTCAATTCACCTTCTTAAAATACTTGCCGGTTAAACCAATGCGCTTATATAAAACGGAAGGAGTAGGAATTTTCTTACTTTTAGCAAATTTTTGGACCGAAATAGCCATATTTTATTTTAAATTCTTATTATTTTAGTTTTAAATGCACCATTATTTATGGTTTCCTCCATCCCTAAGTGTATTAAATGCACAATTATTTACTTTTTCCAATATCCCAAAGTGCATTAAATACAGTTGTTCTCTTCTCGAATTATTAAGTGGAATCTATTTTATATTTTAACTGTTTTTTATTTGAACTCTTTACCTGATATTTACTGAACTTAAAGTACTTTAGCTGAACTTTACTTATTTTTATTGATTAAAACCTTTTATTTTAATTGCTTTACTATTAAGTTTGCTCTCTAAAGTTAATTATTTTTACTGAATAGTATACTTGTAAGGTGAGGAGAACAAGACTTAATACGCTTAGCACTCAATGTTTTTAATGATGATTTTGGTAGTCTTTTGCACATAAAATTTACCACTAGTTACATAATTTTACCAAATTGCCCAAGTACATACCAGTTACTCCCATAGCTAAGTTAACATCAGAGTAGAGTACATAGATCAAGGATGGAGAAAAGAAAGAGAAAAAATTGTGTGGGTGTGGATGTGGGTTGGAAGGTGCTCCCTCCGTCCCAAAGATATTTGCGGCCTTTCTATTTTTATTTTGCTCCAATCTGTTGGACTCTTTGTTTAATAATTGTATGTTTTTAATCAATTTCCCTATCCTCCCTATGCTAATATGCTACTGGTTGATACCCACACATATGTAGTCTGCAATATTTGTACATGTCAACATGGACAATATCTCTGCAACGTAGTAGTTTTATCATAGGACTTTTCCTTGCAAGTGCATTCTTATTCTGATGCATATATCCAGTTTTGTGAAATTTGTGAACTGGATCAGATTTGGAATTTAGGTCATAAAAAAGGTAGGATATCCAAGGAGTTTTATAAAGCTAAATCAGATTGCTGAATCTCTGAGTTGTCTTTTTTTTTTTTTTTTTTTTTTTTTTTTTTTTTTTTTTTGTCAATGTTGATTTCTGTTGTTTCTATGCAGGTTGGGAATATTGGTGGTAGGGAATTTGCAGAATCTTTGGCACCTGATGTGCAGAAGCTACTGGTAAATTGCAATTAAAATTTCTGCATTTTCAGCTTGGTGGTGTTCCAAATTCTTGTTTTGACTGTTAGTTTCTCTTAAGATGTCAAGCAGTTGCAGGCCCCTTGTGAGGAAGAAAGCTGCTCTATGCCTCCTTCGGTTGTATAGGAAAAATCCAGATGTTGTAAACGTAGATGGCTGGTATGCCTCTTCCCAGGATCCTCTTTACCTGTCCTCCTTTCTATCTGTCCTTTGTTCCATCTTTGTGGATTTGGGTAGAAATTTTTTAAAATTTCTATTAAAATCTTCTAATTGAAATTCAGGGATGCAGGGAGATTGGAAAGTGATTAATTTATTATTTTGATTGCCTGTTTATAACACTTATGTTTTCATATTATCAGGTCAGACCGAATGGCACAACTTTTAGATGAACGTGATTTAGGTGTTCTAACAGCTGTTATGAGCCTGCTGGTTGCTTTAGTATCAAATAATTATGATGCATACTGGAGTTGTGTTCCCAAATGTGTCAAAACCTTGGAAAGACTTGCTAGAAACCAGGATGTTCCACAGGAGTACACATACTATGGCATCCCATCTCCCTGGGTTCAGGTTCGTCTTCTTTCTTTTTTTCGTTTTAGTTCTTTTTTTTAATGTATAATCTATAAAAACAAGGGGACAGGTTTTCTAACTGGCGACAGTTGTTTTCTCGCTCTCTTCAGCCTCCAGCCTGCGCCATTGCTTTTCTGTCTTCCTCTTTTGTTTTCCTCTTCCTTTATCTAGCCTTTAGTCTTCTTGCTTAGTCTTCTAACTCTTCCAGTAAAGGCCTCTGGTAGCTAATATTACTAAATTTTTGATACTGGATCTGTTGTAATATGCTGTCAAATACAAGAGTAGCTCTTTTAATATTGATGTGTGTTCATTTTGGCCGTCGTGGGGTAGGATTAAGATTTTCTGTAGGGAGTCCTTTTCCTTGGGACCTGTTTTATGCGCTACTCCTTTGCCTCTAATTGATAGTCCTATTCAGAATCTATATAGATTCCAATGAAAATGGAATAAAAACACTCTTGATATATATAAGAGCTAACATACTCATGTGAGATATTACTTAATTCTTCTCAATATTGAGTTTCACAGTATCAACTTTTTAAATATACATATTTGAAGACATTTATGCATACGCTTTGAAATTGTAAAAAAAAGAAGTATCTAATTTTTCTGTTGATTATTGTTGTTAAACTTGGTGCAGGTTAAGGCTATGAGGGCCCTTCAATATTTTCCTACTATAGAGGATCCAAATATCCGGCGATCATTATTTGAGGTTAGTATCTAATGATGAGCTTGAGCCCATTTCTTATATGGTCGATCTGATATCTTCTTCTTTTTGTAGGTTTTGCAACGGATATTAATGGGTACTGATGTTGTTAAAAACGTAAACAAGAACAATGCGTCACATGCTGTTCTCTTTGAAGCCCTTGCCCTTGTAAGCATCTTTTTAACTAATATAGATTAAAGTCAAAGCTGTGGGAAAGTGCGTTCAATATTTTTGATTACCTTTGCTTTTCTATTACTTGATTCTATTACTAGTATCTGCCTGTGTGTTTAGCTGACAAAGATTGTCTTACTAATGACAGCCAAAAAGGGTGTATGGCTTACCGTTAGAATCCGCTTCTTTCTCTATGTATCCCCTTTCCTTTTCCCTTGTATTTCCCTCATGTATTGTCTTTTAAGTCTTTCTTTATGCTTTCTAGGCTCTAGGCAGAATTATTGTGTCACTGTTTCAGTGTTCATAAGTAATTCTCTATATAATCAATATAAAGCTCTTTAGGGAGCAAATGGTTGAATGAATCAAAGCTCCCTACCCCGTTGCATATTGCTTTAAGACTTGTGTGTTGATTTAAGCCTTTATAGATATTGTGCTTGCCTTGTTTTAAAGCATCCCTTCCAAACCAAGAGAACCTTAAAAGACGCCTTCATTGTCGTCGGTCCCGCTTGTGCCCGCTTCGAAATATCGGCCGTCATAAGCCCCGGCTCCGCACTCATTTTTGACGTGTGCTTCCTTGTGAACCTTTGGTCCGTGTTGATATGTGCTCACGAACCCTTTCCGCTCTAGGCTTGCGTCCTTGTCGCAAAAGACAAGAGCGTGTCGCACGATCAGGTGTCAAACTCTCAGACAGTGACACTTGGTATTGCTATAGAGATGGTGAACGTGGAGATGCCTGAATATACGTGGGAAGAATGACTTGCAAGGCAAGTCTTGGGCTATGCTTGAAGAAAGGATGCCCAAGCTCGAAGATATTGTGATAAAACAAGCCGAGCAAATGGAGAGGCTTGTGTCGACGGTAAATGGGTTGACGGAGCAGCTCAATTTCGTGCAAGGCTTAGTTAATGATGCACAAGACAACCTTGATGCGTGCCCAAAGGGGGCTCGGGGGGAAGTGGAGGCGCTAAGATAAAACCTCCTAAACCTCGGACCTTTAATGGCTCGTGAGATTTAAAGGAAGTTGATAACTTCATCTTCGACATGGAGCAATACTTTCGCATATGTCGGTTGGAGGACGAGTTTAAGGTAGATACTGCCACGATGTATTTAGTGGACGTCGCTAAACTTAAGTGGCGCACCAAGTACGTCGACATCCAAGCTAAGAGGACGTCGGTAGATACTTGGGAGGATCTAAAGAAAGAACTTATGGCTCAATTTTACCTCGAGAATACTGAGTTTGTTGCTCGCACCAAGCTCGCAACTTTGCAGCACAAGACCTCCATTCGTGAGTATGTGAAAGAATATTTGGCGTGCATGTTGGAGATCAAGATATGTGTGAAAAGGACCGTCTATTCAACTTTGTGTGGGGCCTAAAAGATTGAGCTTAAAGGGAGATATGGCGTCAGAAAATTGATACCTTGTTGGGGGCCATAGTCGCAGCCGAAAGGTTGATGGATTACTCATCTGACAAGGTGTCTAGCCAAAAGAAGGGAAATGGTGGGTCAACATCAAGTACCCCAAAGAGCTCCATTGGAAATTCGCAGGTTAGTTCGAACAGTGTGGGGAACAGATACAAGAATGGGGGAGAAGACTTGCGGAAGAACGGGGTCGCCTCATCCACAAACAAAGGTGGGTCCTCCGGCTCATCATCATGGAACAAACCCCTCACTTGTATACTCTGCCGCGGGCCTCATAAATGGTTCGAGTGCCGACACATATCGGAGACCGACAATCTTCGGAAGAAACTCTCCTCAATGTCCTCAGAACCGATAAGGGGGATGACAGAGGAGGATTTGGTCAGCGAAGAAGAACCCTCTAAGTTGGGGTAATGTATTGTATGTATGCTATGGGAAAAGAGACCTCGAGAGAAAAGGGTTGTGCTAGATGTATGTAGATGTTTTGATAAATGGGAAGAAGGCCCAAGCGATGGTTGGGCTACTCATAATTTTGTCATGAAACGTGAGGCAGATAGATTAGGGAAGGGCTGAAAGCTGTGCATAGTGGCAATCGCATGAAAACCGTAAACTCCGAAACTCAACCGACTTACGGTGTGGCAAAGAATGTGAATACTAAGATCGGGGACTGGAGTGGGAGTCTAGACTTTACGGTGGCAACCATGGATGATTTTAAAGTGGTCCTTGGAATGGATTTCCTCCACACCAGCAAAGCCGTCTCTATGCCCCACCCAGGGTCCTTACTTGTGACAAGTCAACAACTGTTTCTTACGAACACACGCTCGTGGTGAAGAAGGAAAAGAACTAAAAGATCCCCTCCTCTTGGCGATTCAACTCAAAAAGGGGATGGGAGAAATGAGCCTACGTTCCTCGCCACTCTCTCGATGAAGGATGAGGAGATCGGGGGAGACATCCCCGAGGTCATAGGAGAGTTGCTCGAGGAATATGCAGATATCCTTCCATGGGAGCTCCCGAAATCTCTCCCTCCCCGAAGGGCCATAGACCACAGTATTGAACTGGTGCCAAGTGCTAGACCACCCGCGCGAAGCCCTTACCGGATGGCCCCTCCGGAACTTGCAGAGTTACGCAAACAACTAGATGGGTTGTTAGAAGCCGGTTTTATCCGACCTTCTAGAGCACCCTATGGAGCACCGGTCCTTTTTCACAAGAAGCAAGATGGGAGTTTGAGATTGTGCATGACTACAGAGCCTTAAACAAGCTCACTGTAAGGAACCATTATCCAATACCCTTGGTGACAGACTTGTTCGATCAGCTTGGAGACGTCGTGTACTTCACTAAGCTTGATCTAAGGTCCGGCTACCATCAAGTTCGAATTGCTCAAGGAGATGAACCAAAGACAACTCGCATCACCGGATATGGGGCGTTCGAGTGGTTGGTCATGCCATTTGGGTTGACGAACGCTCCTGCAACACTTTGTACCTTGATGAATTAGGTCTTCCACGACTACCTTGACAAATTTGTGGTTGTTTACTTAGATGGCGTTGTAATCTTCAGCAACACCCCCGAAGATCACTAGGAAGGTGTTTGAGAAATTGAGACAACATCATCAGTTCGTGAAGCGGGAGAAATGTGCTTTTGCGAAGAAAGAAGTAAGCTTCCTTGGACATTTTGTAGGAGGAGGCCGCATAGAAATGGATCCTAAGAAAATTCAAGCCATTAGTGATTGGCAAGCTTTGAAGAACGTCTCAGAATTAAGGTCGTTATTAGGTCGTTATTGGGATTGGCCAATTACTATCACCGCTTCATTAAGGGTATTAAGAAATAGCAAGTCCCCTCACGGATTTGTTAAAGAAAGACAACAAGTGGAATTGGCTGGAGAAACAACAAGGGGCTTTCCTCTAGCTCAAAGAAGCAGCAATGAAGGAGCCGGTCTTAGTGCTCCCTAACATCAACAAACCGTTTGAAGTCGAGACGGATGCGTCCGATTATGCGTTGGGCAGGGTCTTACTCTAAGAAGGCCACCCAGTCACTTATGGGAGCCGAAAGTTGAGTGATGTAGAAAAGAGGTATGCGACACAAGAAAAAGAACTTTTAGCAATTGTTCACTGCTTAAGGGGTGGAGACACTACTTGTTGGGGGCGAAGTTTGTTGTTCGCACAGATAACACGGTGGCCACGGCAGCCAGTTACTTCCTTACCCAACCAAAATTAACGGGGCAGAAGGTACTTGCAGACTTCGATGTGGAGTTCACGTACAAGACAGGAGCCAGTAACAGGGTCGCCGATGCTTTGAGCCGTCGTGCCAATTTGGCCCCCCTACAAAAGACTATCCCCTATGTCCAGCAACGTCACCACCTCAGTTAAAGAACAGGTCAAACAACACCTCTTAGAAGATCCCATGATAGACACCATCCATCAAAGGGCTAGAAGCAGGAAAGACAAGACGCTTCTAGATAGATGATGGGCTCATTTACACTAAGGGCAACAAGCTATTCATATCGAAGGCAGGAGGCCTACGAAAGATGCTCTTGAAAGAATGCCATGATACCCTATGGGCCGGGCATCTAGGTTGGCTGAGGACTTTAAGCTTACTCTCCATGGGGTATTATTGGCGGGAATGAAAGAAGATGTCATTAACTACACCCGGACCTGCTTAGTTTGTCAACATTACAAAGTGGATCGTCAGGTTGATCTATTAGATCCTCTTCTTGTGCCGACGCTAGGGGTGAAAGTTCGGTATTCGGTTTGGATTACACCCCAAACCGAATCCAAACCGAATTATTTCGGTTTCGGATTTTTGAAACCGAATCCAAACCGAATTTGGATTCAATCCAATCCAATCCAAACCGAAATAATTCGGTTTTGAGAATTAAATCCAATCCAAACCGAAATAATTCGGTTTTGAGAATTAAATCCAATCCAAACCGAATTTTTATGGGCTGCTGTATTAGGCCTTAAAATCTGGGCTTTTTATTGGGCATATAATTTTGGGCCTTTTAAGGCCTAAATTTTGTACCTGTTCCTGAACAAAATTAAAGCATAAATTTTAACATACAACTTTCACAAGTCACAACCATATGCCATACTGCCATAGTAACTAAATTGTCCAGCCATACTGCCATAGTAATTAAATACACTTACACATTGTCCACATTGAGACATAAGAACTTAACAAGTCTTAAAACTATCAAAACAGTCCACATGATGAATTGATAATAAAACAGACAAACAGTCCACAAATGAACTAGTTCAACCAACAGGGCAGCTTCATTCTTAGGCTCTTGGCAGAAACTTCAAGTCTTCAATCAATAGGGCAGCTTCATTCTTGGCAGCTAACTCTCAATCAAGCTCAACCAAGTCCGGGTTTTGACCACCAATTGTCATATTCCTCAAGTCTAATAACATTAAAAAAAAATAAACAAGTTACATAATATATATGAAATAATGAAAAAAAATAACATGATAATTGTTGTTTTATGTTACCTTCTTCAAGATCTTCAACTTCTTGTAAACACTCTTCTATATTAGGAAAGGGAGAAGAACGTAGCCAATTTTGAGCACAAACAAGTCCTTCAACGACCCTTGGAGTTAAGGAGCTCCTAAATGGGTCTAGAACCCTACCACCAGTGCTGAATGCACTCTCAGAGGCTACTGTTGAGATAGAGACAGCAAGTATATCACGGGCCATTCTTCCAATTGTTGGAAACCTAGCACTATTAAACTTCCACCACCCCAAAATATCAAAATTTTCACATTCCTCCTCCGTTTCCTCTTCTAAATATTTGTCTAACTCAATTTTTGCTTCTCCATCTTTCTCACACTTATGTTTCTTATACTTACTTTTCAATACCTGAAGCTTCTTTTGTTTGGGAGAAAATTGGGAACTGTCCATACTTGAGGACACTTCCTCCCTAATCACATCACCAGAAGAACCACGATACTCCTCATACAATGCATTCAAAGACTCTTTCAAATTATTCACCAAAACAAATGCATGCTTAGAATCATAAATTTCAATTAACATCCACTCAACATAATCTAACTTATAACGAGGATCAAGCACAACAGCAATAAAAATCAGCATGTTTATTTTCTCCGGATCACCCCAATATTTGTCATATTTCTCCTTCATTTTAGTAGCCATAAGACACATCTCCACATCATCATTTGTCATCAAATCTTTCAAAAGGACAGCAACACTCACCAATTCATGGAAAAATAAATTGGAAGTCACATGCAAAGACCCAGAGACACGCAACGTAAGATCATAAAAGACTTGTAAAAATTCAGAAAACCTTCTGACTGTTTCCCAATCCTCAGAAGTAGGGCAGCCCTTCCCCTCCCTCTCATTTAACTCAATCACATAATGAGGGTCCTCCTCAGAGTACCTCTCAAAAGCATACTCAAACACCAAAGCAGCATCCAACATTAAAAAGGTGGAATTCCACCTAGTAGGCACATCAAGGCACAACAACTTTTTAGAGTTGATTTTTTCTTCCACAACACATTTTTTAAACCTTACCAACCTAGAAGGGGATTGTTTGATGAATCTTACAGCTTGTCTCACACGAGTAATAGACTCATTAACAATTTTCAAGCCATCAGACACAACCAAATTCACAATATGAGCAACACAACGCATATGAAGGAACCGACCCTTAAGAACCCCAGCTTTCCAACCATTTATTTTCCTTCTCATATATCCTATTGCGGTATCATTTGAGCTAGCATTATCAACAGTTATGCAAAATACTTTCTCAAGTTCCCAATCAAGCAAACATTTCTCAATTTCTTTCCCAATTTCCTCCCCCTTATGACTTGATATAGGACAAAAATTCAGAATACGTTTTTGCAAATTCCAGTCATTATCAACAAAGTGAACAGTCAAGCACATGTAATTAATTTGCTGAATAGATGTCCATGTATCGGTTGTTAATGAAACCCTTGAGTTACAATTTTTTAATACCAATTTCAGCTTTCTTTTTTGAGTTAAAAAAGTTTCATAACAATCTTTAGCCACAGTAATTCTGGAAGGGACATGAAATCTAGGCTCCATTACATTACAAAATTTTTTAAAGCCTACTCCCTCAACAAACTTAAAAGGCAATTCATCAACTATAACCATCTCAGATAAAGCTTTTCTAATTACAGTTGGATCATATTTCACATAAGACAATCCACTAGTACAACCACTTTCAATTTTATTGCTTTTGAAAGACAACAAACTTTGTTTTGATTCTTTAGGAGTATTATAGGGGTACTTACGGCATCTATTTATATGAGCCCACAATGGACTAGTGCCATTTCTCTTTGTACCACACTTGTATCTCATACCACAGTACTTGCAACGTGCTTCCATTCCAGTGTGTGTTTCTTCCTTGATAAAGTGCTCCCAAACCTCGGAACGATCCTTCATTCTCTTCCTCTTGGGTTTGGATTTTTCATTGTCAGATTCATGCTCCTCAATAGGGACATTCCCTTCAACATTATCCATATTTGTGGACATTCTGATAATCTGATTTAAAACAGAAAAAAGAACTCACTCAATAACCAACAATTTTTATGCAAATCTATGAAAAACAATCAATCTATCAAAAAGAAAACATGCAATTCGAGCATAATACTATAATAGAACAACATATATTCTGAACACTGAAGGAATATCATCAATTCGAGCATAATACAATTCGAGCATAATAACTATTCAAAGAAAACAATCTATCACCAGTTCGAAAATAACAAAGAAAACATGCAATTCGAGCAGGAAAAGAGAAGTGCAAGTGAAATCTGAAATTCAAAATAACAAAGAAAACATGCAATTCGAGCAGGAAAAGAGAAGTGCAAGTGAAATCTGAAATTCAAAATAACAAAGAAAACATGCAATTCGAGCAGGAAAAGAGAAGTGCAAGTGAAATCTGAAATTCAAAATAACAAAGAAAACATGCAATTCGAGCAGGAAAAGAGAAGTGCAAGTGAAATCTGAAATTCAAAATAACAAAGAAAACATGCAATTCGAGCAGGAAAAGAGAAGTGAAATATGAAATATTGAAATTAAAGCATACCGGAACACTCGAACAGGTGGTCAGCGGCGGCCGGCGTTGGAACACTCGAACGGAACACAGGTGGTGAGAGGGAGAGATGAGGGAAAATCTAGGGTTTTAGTGAGGGAAAGAGATCAGAAACGAAAGAGAAGTGAAATATGAAATATTGAAATTAAAGCATACCGCCATACCGGAACACTCGAACAGGTGGTCAGCGGCGGCCGGCGTTGGAACACTCGAACGGAACACAGCCACAGGTGGTAAGTAGGAAAGCAGGAAGTAGTGAGGTGGTGGATTGGTGGTGGTGGACGAACGGAGTGACTGAGTGAGGTGGTGAGAGGGAGAGATGAGGGAAAAGTTTTAGTGAGGGAAAGACCGAAAGAGATCAGAAACGGCTGAGAAATTGGGCTTATAAATTTAGGGTTTGAGTATATATACGTAGGAAAATGGGCTGAGAAATGGGGCTTATACATTTCGGTTCGGTGTTCGGTTTTCGGTTTTTAAAATCCCAAAACCGAATCCAAACCGATATAATTCGGTTTTCATTTTCTCAAACCGATCCAAACCGAAAACCGAACAAAACCGAACCGAATTGCTTATTCGGTTCGGTTTGGTTCGGTTTTCGGTTTTTATCCAAACTACTTTCACCCCTAGCCGACGCGTCCGTGGGAAAACATATCTATGGACTTCATTAATGGTCTACCCAAGGTGGATCAGTATTCAGCGGTAATGGTGGTGATCGACAAATTCTCAAAATATGCCACCTTTGTTCCCATGCAGAAGTCTTGTGGTGCTGAAGAGACGGCGACATTGTTCTTTAAACATATTGTGAAGTATTGGGGATTGCCCCAAAGCATCGTCGACCGAGATACAAGATTCACGAGCATATTTTGGACATAATTGTTTAAACTAATGGGGTCGGCGACATTGTTCTTTAAACACATTATGAAATATTGGGGATTGCCCCAAAGCATCGTCAGCGATCGAGATACAAGATTCACGAGCATACTTTGGACAGAATTGCTTAAACTGATGGGGTCGGACTTTGGACTTTCACCCAATCTGATGGACAATCAAAGAGATTCAACGGTCTCTTAGAAGAATACTTGACATTTCTTTAGCGCCAATTAGAAAGATTGGGTGAAACTCTTTGATGTTACCCAACTTTGCTTCAACGCCCAGAAGAGTACCGCATCCAACAGAAGCCCATTTTAATTGGTGATGGGCCAACGACCTCTCCTACCTCACACCATAACAACATCCGAAGATGGGAAAAGCCGCGAAGCACGAGAGTTTAAGCGAGAGTGGCAACAAAACATGGAAGTTGCTCGCGCTTACTTGGAGCGGGCAGCGAGGAGAATGAAGAAGTGGGCCGACGAGAACAGAAGGCCATTGAAATTTGATGTAGGGGACATGGTGATGGTGAAAGTCTCGTTAGAGCTCAAGTTCCTTAGAGGAAGAGATCGCGGGCTAACCAGAAAATATGAAGGCCCCATCCGCATCACTAAACAAATTGGGAATAATGCTTACAAGGTTAAGCCGCCTACGTGGATGAAGATACACCCCGTCTTCCACGCTAGCCGCCTCCAACTTTATCATCCAGATCCAGAAGACAACAACCGCAACATCAACAACCGCGCCAACATTAGAACCAGGACGAGAACACACCTGCGACAAAAGACTGAAGCTGAAGCTACTATTTCTTTTCCTTTAAGTGTATGTTTTGTTTTGTAAGTCAACGAGGTCGTCGACGGCTTAAGTGGGGGAGGATGTTAGAATCCGCCTCTTTCTCTATGTATCCCCCTTCCTTTTCCCTTGTATTTCCCTTATGTATTGTCTTTTAAGTCTTTCTTTATGCTTTCTAGGCTCTAGGCAGAATTATTGTGTTACTGTAGTTTCAATGTTCACTAGTAATTCTCTATGTAATCAATATAAAACTCTTTAGGAAGCGAATGGTTGAATGAATCAAAGCTCCCTACCCCGTTGCATATTGCTTTAAGACTTGTGTGTTGATTTAAGCCTTTATAGATATTGTGCTTGCCTTGTTTTAAAGCATCCCCTCCAAACCAAGAGAACGTCAAAAGATGCCTTCATTGTCGTCCGTCCCGCTTGTGCCCGCTTCGAAATATCGGCCGTCACAAGCCCCGATTCCGCACTCGTTGTTGACGTGTGCTTTCTTAAGATACCTTTGGTCCGTGTTGTTGTGTGCTCACGAACCCTTTCCGCTCTAGGCTTGCGTCCTTGTCGCCAAAAGACAAGAGCGTGCCGCACGTGTGTCAAAACTCTCGGATCGTGACACTTACCCTACCGTATGAAACTTTGATGTCTGTGAAGCTTTAATTTTATTAATAAGTAACAAGGTCAACGTGAACATATATTGTAATTTGGAGTATATGTTACCTGTTACAAATCAAATTACTGCTATCTGTAGAAAATTAATAGTTGATCTTCTCTTTTCGTTGTCTTTTCTGACTTTTCTCTATCACAGGTTATGCATCTTGATGCTGAGAAAGAAATGATGTCGCAATGTGTTGCTCTGCTTGGGAAGTTTATTGCTGTTCGTGAGCCAAACATACGATACCTTGGTTTGGTAAGTCCTGGGACCTGTAGTTTGTAATTCTTTTCTTTATGTATGAACTTAAACTCTTACGGTGTGTTTGGATTGAATGAAATGGAGGGAAAGGAAGGGAAGGGAAGGGAAATGAAGAGATGGTTTATCTTTCATTTGGATAACAAATGAGGAAGGAAGGGAATTGGAGGGGAGAGAAGTGGAGGGATTAAATTGTAGGAAATTGATCCCTCTAACAATGGAGAGATTTGGAAGGAAAACTCACCGTTCTTCCCTCCCCTTCTTTTCCTTCCCCTTTCTTTATCCAAACACGCTGTTAAGGATGACTCCAGTCAAGCTCCAAATGAGCTCATTGTGCTTTTCTAACGTCATATCATTCTTGGAATTTCTGTGTTGTAGGAAAATATGACCCGAATGTTGATGGTTACAGACGTGCAAGACATCATTAAAAGGCATCAAGCTCAGATCATTACCTCACTGAAGGATCCTGATATCAGGTTGAGCTTCAAAGAGTTTATTTACTCCTCTCTGTTCCTCCCTTTACCTCTTTTTCCTGTTGTGTGCAATATTGGTTGGCTGCCAATTTTCTTTCATCTGATTGTTACTGCCTGCTTTCACTGCTGTGAAGTTTAAGTAATAATTTCTTAATTAAATCAGATGGAAGACGTCAGTCAAATCAACTTAGGGGTATTTGATTGTTTTCTTTGCTAACCTGTGCAGTCTGCTATATCTATATAATAATAGCCAATGAAATGAAAAAAATATTAAACTATAGAAGAACTCCAATCCAACCTCTGCTGTTTCTTTGTCTTAGTACAGGCTTGTGATATCTGATTCTATAATCTTTATGTTCCTTGGTTAATTCAGAGTATTATATGCATTCGCTTCTCTTAAAATGCATCTATGAAGCTTGAAGCCTATACCGTTTGACCATGTTACATAGTTGTGATTCTTATATGTGCATTTTGTTTCTTCACCTTTTTTTTTGGTGGGGGTGGGGTGGGGTGGGTGGAAGGGGCTAAACAATTGACAGTATTCCCCAAGAAATAAAAAGTACTCCAAAGAAATAAACGAACAGTGTTAAACTACCATCACGAGGACACGTTTTCTTTTTCAATTATGAAGAAAAGTGCTTAATAAGATTGTTTATCTTGCCAGCATACGGAGGCGTGCTCTTGATTTGCTGTATGGAATGTGTGATGTTTCAAATGCAAAGGACATTGTTGAGGAATTATTACAGGTTTGAATATTTTTTATACCTTTGATTCTGTTCTCAGTAGCTAATGTATATTGATTCGATAAACCAACATTAACCTTGAACACCAACTTGCTCAAAAACACATGCTCAAACACCATTCTAAGCCTTTTACAATTCCTTTTGTCAGTATCTCAGTACAGCGGAATTTGCTATGCGGGAAGAATTGGCTCTGAAAGCTGCCATACTTGCAGAGAAGTTTGCGCCTGACTTGTCATGGTTAGGCCTCTCTTTATTGTGTCATCTAAATGATGTTACAAAGCATTATATGATAGGGATTCTAGATGGAATGAGTCTCTAACAGGGAAAGATGCAGTTTAAGTAAACTGAGGTTGTAAATACATATGAAGGGTTTGAGCAATATATGGTGTCTTGTCCAGCAATAGTCAAGGCTAGAGTATTTGGAGTTGTTTTCACAGCTTAATTTACATGGGTTTGCATTTTTTATTACTGTTTAGTGAAAAATTGATTTTTCAGAAGGTTGCTTTTTCTATAAGTTTGTCATAAATCAGAAATTTATATTTTCTTTGGATTATTGCTAAGTATAAGCAACTTGGTTAAGGATTATCATTGGAAGATGTCATGTAGAATTAGAGTACACTTTTATTTTAGTGCTTACTTATGCTTTCTCCTTTGATATTAGTATATTACCGTGAGGGTACTTTTACTTTGATTTTGACAGAAGCAATTAAAATTCTTTTTACCTTTTACTATTTTAAACAATTAATTCTTTGATGAATCCTATTGAATTGGGGCCAGATAATCGACTCAGGAAGCCTTCTTGTATTTCTTTTTCCCATCGACACAAGATGATTGCCTTTTCCTTTTACATAAAATTTAGAGAGATTTTAAATCAGCTGAAAGCCATGGTGTTTCATTCTTTTTGTATTTAGATTAGATTGATGAATGTTGGATGTTTCTAACTCAGCACAGTCGTTGATATGATGCTGGTGTGAACATAATACATATACAAGGTTCATAATCTGTAGTTGTGTATGGTGTGTATAGGTTTTTCCTCTGTCGTGATTCAATATATATTCAATCCAGTTTCTTAACTTCTTTACAATTCCTAAGGACTGGCTGGATTCAGTGTTATGCTGTCAAATTTAAGCCTCTGTTTTCTTATAAAATTCATTCAGGTATGTGGATGTGATCCTTCAGTTGATTGATAAGGCAGGTGATTTTGTTAGTGATGACATATGGTTCCGCGTGGTGCAATTTGTTACAAACAATGAAGATTTGCAAGTGAGCACTGCATTACATTTCCTTTGCTGTTAGCATTTGGTTGGGTATCATTTTCTATGGAAATAGAGTTAATTTTATTTACATTCTATATTGTTAGTCATATGCAGCAGTGAAGGCCCGGGAATATCTTGACAAGCCTGCTATACACGAGACAATGGTTAAGGTGTGTTTTCTGACAGCCAACTAAAATAGAAGAAAAGTGAATAGAAAGAGAGGTGTTTTTGTTCCTTGAAGATGTTATTGTTACATAGAAAGTATTTTCTGGATAAGTATGCACTGTGGAGAACTTAATTGTTAATTTTTTTTTTTTCAATTTTCAACTGACAGAGTATTCTAATTATAAAAGAGCTCAACATATTCAGCTTCTGATATGCTTGTAGAAATTAGGGTCGTTTGGCCTTTGAAGTTTGAACAATCTATAAGTTCTTGTTATGTATTTCAACGAAATTTTTAGTAAAATTTTGTTGTACGCCTTTCTAATTTAAAGCTTACTTATCTACAATAAAAAGCTCCTTTTCTCTCCTGATTCTGATCCTTTAAATATTCACTATTGCTAGTACTACTGCTGCGCTCCTTTCTCCCCTTTAACACATTTGATTTTTGGATTTTGCCCGTTACTGTCTCTCTTTTATTTCTTCTATGTCTTATAATTATTCAAACTTATCTAGGTTGGGTAGCGGTTATGTCACCTTATCTGAACAAACTTCTTCTGAAACATTTTTTAAAGGCAAAGAAATCCATCCTAAATGTGCGTATAGGGTTTGTTATAAATGTTAAGTCTATAATATAGGTAAATCATAGCATGTGATTGTCTAATTATCCAAAATCTGGACAATTAGGACACTTGACATTCTTGGAAAGAGATAGAGAAAGAGATGTGCTTAAAGATTATTTTTGGGACATCTGTTAAAGAAAGATTGAGTATTAGTGATGAAAGGAGTAAATGACATCTATTTTTATATCCCCTTTCTCCTGGACTCCCTTCATTTTTTAAGAACAACTTCTTGCTGAAAAGAGAACTTATTGTACTTAATGTCTTATGGATTCTTGCGTCAGGTCAGTGCATATATACTTGGAGAGTTTGGCCACCTTTTGGCCAGAAGGCCTGGTTGCAGTCCCAAGGAACTTTTTAGCCTTATTCATGAAAAGCTTCCTACTGTATCGTAAGAAAACTCAACCTTTTTTTTCTCTTATGTTTATTTGTCATCAATGTGCCTTTGTATCATAATTCTGAAGGAGGATATATTTTCAGAAGTTCCACTATTCCTATACTGCTTTCAACGTATGCTAAGATTTTAACGCACGCTCAACCTCAAGATTCAGAATTACAGAATTTGATTTGGGCAGTGTTCCGCAAGTGAGTGGTTGAATAATTAAATTTTGGTTAACTTTAAATTTTCCTAGAAAGTTTGAGTTTGTGACTTTTCTTTTGTATTTCAGATATGAGAGTTGCATTGATGCAGAAATACAGCAACGTGCTGTAGAGTATCTCACATTGAGTAAGAAAGGAGCTTCTTTGGTGGATATAATGGCCGAAATGCCCAAGTTCCCTGAGCGACAGGTACATTTTTTTTGGCTCTGCGGTAAATGTTCCATCAAAGTACTTTTCCTATTGTGAGAGAATCCAATCTTGATGCTGACAATGGCTGTGTATACATAGTCTGCTCTAATTAGAAAAGCTGAAGATGCTGACATTGATGCTGCTGAGCAAAGTGCTATCAAATTACGGGCGCAGCAGCAGACATCAAATGCCCTTGTTGTTACTGATCAACAGCCTGCCAATGAAGCCCCTGCGGCAGTACAGCTTACCCTTGTAAAAGTACCTAGCACGAGCACTGATACGGTTAGAAAGTTCCAATGAAAGCTTGCTTTTCTCTTTTCTTTTAGCCTTCAAATACTCTTTTATATTTAGCTATATTTAATTTAACACTGTTGAAACTTTTGAATAATAGGATCATCAAGGTACACAAAGTGCACTACCTCAATCCAATGGGACTTTGAGTGAAGTGGATGCCCAACAGGCTGCTCCATCTCCTGATCTTCTTGGTGATCTTTTGGGCCCTCTTGCTATAGAGGGCCCTCCAGGTGCTTCCGGGCAATCAGAGCTAGAAGGGGTGCCAGGAGCTGATGCTTCTTCAACTGAAGTGGATGCTTTGGCACTGACACCAGTAGATGAGCAAATGAATACTGTTCAGGTATTGGGTCTCTGCATGCTGCTTAATTCTAAAAAATTGTGAAACAAAAAATATTATTCACTTTATCTTATACTTCCTTCGTTCCGAATTAGATGACACGTTTTGACTGTTGACACTATTCATAAACTTTGCTTTGACTAACATTTGTGATTTATTGATATATATATATGTATATATTAAAAAAAAGTCATGTGGGAATCTTTTTAGATTTGTTTCAATGTGCACTTAGTTAAATTCAATTTTTAGTATTTTTTTACAATTGTGTAAGTATAGACATTTTCAATTGAATTTTTGCATTGGCAAACATGATGATGATAGAAACATGTCATCTAATTTGGGACGGAGGAAGTAAGACTCAGCATATGGCTTTGTTTATCTGCAAGGACAGCAACTTTGAAAGACTTGGCTTTTTTTTTCATAATTTTTATCCCTTATATGTTGCCTAAATTTTAATATATCCTTTTTTCTTTTCTTTTTTTTTTTTTTTTTTTTGTGTGTGTGGAAATGTTGTTAAAGAGTAGTCCCTGAGCCACCTGATTGTTTGGTTTTATATCCTTATCAGACATTTGACTCTCCCACAAGGTTACAGAGTCCTTATCCAATACTATAGTGTTCATCCACACTCTTCGTAGTGATAAATGTAAAAAGAGTGGGAAAGACCATATAAAGTGACACTCCCACAAGGCTACAGAGTCCTTACATGATACTTCATGGATACAATATGTAAAAAAAGTGGAAATGATTTCCCAAAAATGTGATATATGGTCACAAATGGGCTTGAGATTATACCATTAACAAACCTAGCAAACAAATCTGCCCGACGTGCGTGTGCATGCGCGTGTGTGTGTGTGTGTGAAAGGTACATACAGAAGTCTTTCAAAATCAAGATTATGTTTCAAAAAACTGCCATTTCTCCACACCCATGTCTAATTTTAGAACTGTCTCCTCATTTCCAAACCTTTGGGCTTTAACATGCCTGACAGTTAGGTTTGTACCATACCCAACATTCCTACCCATGATCTAAATAACATAGGTTATGGGGACTGCATTTTTTGAATCTTTTTCTAAATGCATTGACATAGCTTGTCTCTGTTCCTAGAACTATTGCTTTTTGAGCAACTCTGCTAATAACATATCCTGAGCCTTCTATTCTGTGGTTTAGATATACCTTTTTCACTAACTTTTATAGCCGTGATAGCTGATTGCCTATTTCTATGTTTTTTCATGCAGCCCATAGGAAGTATTGCTGAAAGATATCTAAACTTGTGCCTCAAGGATAGTGGCGTACTATACGAGGATCCTTACATTCAGGTTGGAAATTTGTTTTTTGAGTTCTCTATTATTGACGTTCAATTGCTTTTTAAAAAAAAAAAAAAAAGGAGGTTGGGGGTTGGGGTGGGGGGGGGGGGTATCTAGAATTAAGCTGACCGATATTCCTTATTAACAGATTGGAACTAAAGCAGACTGGCGAGCCCATCAGGGTCGCATGGTCCTTTTCTTGGGAAACAAGAATACTGCTCCACTTGATTCAGTTCAAGCAGTAATCTTGCCTCCTGCCCATCTGAAAATGGACATTTCACTGGTACCTGAGACTATTCCTCCACGGGCTCAGGTGATCTTAAATTATAATTCGCTGCTTTCAGAATTTGTCCTCTCTTGTCTTTATTCTCTCAATAATTATCTAGCACCTAGTTGTTGACAACCGGAAACATATGTTCTTTTGTGCTGTTATGTTTCCTAGGTGCAATGCCCACTTGAAATTGTGAATCTCCGTCCAAGTAGGGATGTTGCTGTTCTTGACTTCTCATACAAGTTTGCAACCTCCATGGTACATCTACTTGACTCATATCTATCCAATATGTTTTGGAATATGCGATAGTTTGTGAAGATCCTAATTTGTAAAAATTCACCCCTGAATCACAGGTGAATGTGAAACTCCGTCTTCCTGCTGTCTTGAACAAGTTTATGCAGCCAATACCTGTCTCTGCAGAAGAATTTTTCCCTCAATGGCGGTCACTTTCAGGACCACCTTTGAAGCTCCAGGAAGTGGTGCGCTTTCAAATAGAATTTTTCTTTATGTTATTTTGTTGTTTCCTGGCATTCTTTAACCGTACTTTTTTTTCTTTAACTGAACTTGATTTTAGCTAAATTAAATGGATAAGGTTTTACTGAATATTTATGTAACCAACACTTAAATTCTTTTACGTTTTGGGGCTGAGTTTCTAGGATTAGGTTGCTGACAATAATGATTATATATCCAATCTTATTATAACTGGAATCTCATTTATTTTAGAAGTGAAGATTCCATTTAAATTGATTTAATGTAGTAGTGTTTAAACAGAGGATACATATCTGATTAAAAAAAAAAAAAGGTTTGTCATGCTATCTATGATTTTATAACTTTGATCAAGTTAATTTAGTAGTATAGAAACTGAAAAGCAGACAAAAAAGTTTGCTATCACTGCATAGTAATGCAATGGATTCTAAAAACTTTAAAGCTGTTGTATATGGTTACTATATAGGGGCTTCTTTAGAAGTCTGACTTTCCAGTGGTTTTTTTTTCCCTTGTTTGGTTGGAGCATATTGATAGAAAATTCTCTAAAAATTAACATTATTTATCACTACTCTATGTGATATACTGATATGTAGAAGAAGAGTTACTCTGTATGATCCCTGTACCAATTGTAGAAAATGACCATTTGCTGTCTGTTACTGGGTCTTTGGCAAGCAGATGTAATTTGTTTCTACATTCTACAGTGCCCCTCCCACCACCACTCCACCCCCCCCCCCAACCCCCGGGAATCATTCTGGAGTTTTTTTTTTGGGGTGCTGTGCATTACTGTGTAATAGACCAAAGATTATTTTGCAAATTTGATGAGATTTTCTTTCATTTACTGTTTTAACCCTTTTGGTGAATATTATTACAGGTGAGAGGTGTTAGACCTATGCCATTAATGGAGATGGTAAATCTGTTCAATAGCTATCACTTGATGGTTTGTTCAGGACTTGTAAGTTCCTAAACTCTTTTTAGCTGAACTCCGTCTTCCGTTGGGCGTTATTATTAATTTTGTTTTGCGTTTCAGGATCCAAATCCTAATAATCTAGTGGCAAGCGCAACATATTACTCAGAACATACAAGGGCCATGCTATGTTTGGTATGATTTCCATGTGCTTATTATGTTATTCGTTAATTCTGTTCCAGATTCAAGACCTCTTCGTCTGGGCTCATTTACAACATCTTTTCCCCTGCCCCTCTTGTGTACCAATTTTTTAATGCTTAAGGGTACTTACAGCTTTGTCAGCTTTAGTTTCTTCTCTGGAAATTCAATTGACCCTTTTCCATGATTTACAGATTAGGATAGAAACTGATCCTGCAGACAGAACTCAGCTGCGTATGACAGTTGCCACTGGAGATCCCACACTGACTTTCGAGTATGTTTGTAGCATGAGATTATTAATATGTAACTTAAAACTGGCAGATACTAACTGGTACTATTTACAGGCTGAAAGAATATGTCAAGGAACAATTGATTGCCATCCCAGCAACTTCCCGAGGAGCGCCAACTACGCCAGCACCTCCACAGCCTACTAGCCCCGTGGCAGCATTGACGGATCCTGGAGCTATTCTTGCCGGCTTGCTGTGATAAAGGATGCAGCTAATGTGTTTAGATGATCTGTTCGTAATATACATGTACAATTGATTTACAGCCAAGCCTCGATTCATCTAATGAGCAAAGAAGTGATATAAACACCATCATGCCAGGGCTGGCGGAATTGAGAATGAGCTAATTTGTGATCAGCTACATCATTGGATATAAAAAGGGAAGAGGGGGGCGTTGGGGATAGGATTTTTTCTTCAAGGTGCTTTGGTGAGATTTCTTTCAGCTTAGTTTTACCCCTCTTGATTTTGTTTTACCATATTTTTCCATTTATTAGGGTGCATTATTGGTGTTGGTTTCTGTAATATTGTAGTACTTAGCTTGTAAAAGAACTGTCGTGCGGTTTTTTTTTTTTTTTTTTTTTTTTTTTTTTTTTGCCCCTCAATTTTTGGGTGAGAAAGGGTGTTGTAATTGGAAATAGAGAATTAGAGTGAAATATATTTCTTTATTATTGCCAACCATAAAGTTGTAACCAGCAAAATTATCCTTAGCAACATTGTTGGTACGGAGTATATTATCCATTACTGTTTGATATTGTAGATCAATGCTAAAAGGAGTTTTATCCAAATTTTATTTTGTGTGCGTGAGGTGCCTATAATAACTAAAGGAATCGACTAATAAATCAAAAGTTACGTACGGCATAATTATTTTGACCATTGTGTTTCGTCTGTTACCTTCCAAAAAATGACGTGTGCTTTTTGAATACTATAGTATAGGTGGTTGTTTAATAACCCTTCATTAAACAAAAAGTATTGTGGACATTATTTAGTAACAATTTGGGGATGGGATTTTCTTTTTTTTTTTTCCCGTTGTCTCAAATTGTCTAGTCTGTTAACCTGAGCTGGGTTGACCCGTGAAGAGTTTTTGCTTGACAGAGTTGGCACATATGTGATACATCAAATCAATTTTTCAAAATGTATGGTTTTTTTCACATGAAAATCTTCTCGCATAACCATCATTCTCCTTCAGTTGTGGTCTTTAAGATAAGGGAGCAAACTGCTATTTGTTTGCACTTTTGCAGTGTGTTTAAAGAAAAAATGGGGAGATGGCAGAGCGCTTTCTTGGCTTTGCACATGTGCTTAAAAATGCAATGAGCCCATGCATATGAAGCATAATTTAGTACTTCTAAAGTTGAGACAAAAGTTATGGTAGACCTAGCAATCTTAATGATCTCAAAACATTTAAATTATATGTTTGCGTACGTACTATATTTCTTGCTTTGCTTATCAGCTCCAGTTGCTATTCAATATTTCTTGAAAAAACTCCATTTCAATTGATTGTTTAACATGCTTGCAATATCATTGAATCTAGTGAGAAGCTCTCCTTGACATGACATTTTTTTCGACAAAAATAGACTGAATGATTGTAGAAGGCTTCTTGTGAACTTAATTCAAAATTTGTTGAGACTCGTTGGGGATCTCAATAAAAGATGAAAGAGCTCACCGTTATAGGGGATTTTTAATACTACGATTTTTAAGTGTCTTATAAAAACAGAAAGGAAGAGAAAGAAAATAAAAGCTAATATGGGATCAAGAGTTAGAAAACTTGTTAAACTGCTTGCTCAAATGTTTACTAAAACCCAAAAACTGGAATTGGTGCGGAGGATCTAATACGTGCCCAACATTTTCAATAATGAGTTAAATTTACAGTTTTATAATACCTCAGATTACTTTTATATGCAACTTTGGAATATTTTATCTCTTAAATAATACTCCAAAATTGCATATAAAAGTAATCGAAGGTAATACATAGTTTCCCTTTTGAGATGTTTTAATTAAATGTATCTATTTGTACTTTTTATTCTACTCCATATGTTTTAACAAATAAATTTTAACCATTTGACTCCATTGCGGCTTCATCCCCGTACTTCATTTTTTTATTTTCATATTCACCCACCTTTTTATCTGTGCTGTTTTCTTACACCTACTCACGTCTATAATTAAGAGTACATTAACTAGGTACAATTTTTTACAAGAAACACTATTATAACAAAGATGAAGCGAGTAAAAACTCAATTGCCCGATTTGATGTAATATCACAGTATCACTCAAGGAATACAGTGAAATAATTAATCCAAACAGAATCTGAGATGTCATTAGCAAAAAAATCACTTGTGATTTTCCATGATTGTTACACAAGTAACTCGAGCAAGATAAGCACACCAAAAACAAGCTTATCTTTGAGTATAGATTAACATTAGGCATCACCCAACACCCCACCTCCAGGAGAGCCAAAAATCTAAGCTAACAATCAGTTCAACCCATTCCCCACCCAACCCCACCTCCCCCCACCCCTCTCCATCTCCCGTTTGCTCAATCAAGAGAGGCCCACGTTTCATGAGTAACACACTAAAAACCCTTTAAACATCCATGTATCAAAGCCTGACCAGTATCATCAGTAGAGTAATGAGTTATAACCAGAAAGACAATAGCTGGCAGAGGACCTTTTCAGTGACATGATCAATCAGAGCACAAGCATTCACATCAGCCCCAAAAACAGTAGTGAGCAAAAATTTCCAATTGGTACCTACTGATGTTGGAAAATCTGCCATCTGTCCAGCTTCCTAGAGCCCCAAAAAAAGAAGCAAGAACTGAATCAAAAATCTGCATCTCTAGAAGACCTTTATAATCAACACCATCCCCTGCAGTTGTCGCACCTCCAGCTGTCACCCTGAGAGACATCTTCCAAAGGTGAGCATTGGCTGTGAATCTGTAAACCACATGTATGACAGGCAAGATCAGGAGCCGGTGTTGGTTGTGAGCAGATATTACAACTAACAGCTGTTGCAGCTTCCATACATGTGGCTGGTACATGATCAATATCGGGCTCCATTTCATAATGCTCTGGGAATCCGCTCTGAGAATATTCACACTGCAAATCCTCCCAGGCATCTCCAGACACATCAACTCCTTCAAACTGATTTCCATCATCAGCCTCTAGCAACTCTGTAAAAGAAAAGTAGGTCTGTGGTTCATAATCAGTGGTTTCATAGTTGAAGTTCTCATAGTCCAATGCTGTTCCATCTTCAAAACTACCATTAGGGACATCCCACTCAGAATGAAAATTGGAAATGGTTTTTGTCTCGTCAGATGTAGGTGGCTGTACAACAGGATAATCATTCCAGATAAGCCCATCATCATCCCTCTCATTCTTTATATGCCTTCTGACTGGAAGCTTTTGGGGGCCTGGCCCAAAAGGAGTGTTCCAGTCAAACTGCAATTCTTCTTGTGGCTCAGGTATTTGTTCAACTTTTGAAACAGGCATAAGAAGAGGATCATCCACTGGAATGAAAACATCATCCTCCATCAGAGACATTGGAGTTGAAGGTACCGATTCAGCCTGCTCTGAAAAGGCTTCGGAAACAGAATCAGCTAGCACCGTCTCTTCCTTCGGACCTTTAATGAGTATTTTCTTTATCTGCGGCTTTTTGTCTGCATATGGGCATGTTGGAGTCTTAATTCTGCGACAACGGCAACACTTATATCCCAACACATTGGAAAGTTTCGACTCGTCAAGTTCAACAGCATCAGCATGGTGCCAATCTGCAAAAGCACTTCATTATAGATTTTTACATTTAGAGAGAGAGAGAGAGAAGCTGCAAAGAAAAGAGATCCTTCAGAAGCTTACTTTGGCATGATTCACAACGGATGTACATCAAATGTGGAGTATATGGCTTCTGACACAATTGACACTCTGGGCCTACTGAATTCATACCATAAGCGCCCCTGAAAAGAATATTATTCGACCAAAATTCAGATCCAGCACCATCTACAGACTTCTTCTTCCAGATGAGACCCCAGTGCTGTTGTCGTTTTCGATTCTTAGACAAACTAGAATCAGATGAAGCAGGTTTCTTTTCAGTCTCTAAAGTTCCAACAGGTGGCAGTACTTTGCCATTAGTTTTAGCCCTTGAACTTTTGGAGAGAGTCATAGAATTCTGATGTTGTTTCAGCTTTGCACTTTTAGCAACTGTGGCAGAATTCTGATACTCATGCCCCTGCACCACCAAAGGACTTGTTGGTGATTCAACAGTGCCGTTGTTTAGAGTAAGAGGTTTGCCACAAGAACACTGCTTGCAAGTGGTTACAAATTCAACATCATCATTTGTTAGGACAGTTGAGCTTATGGTACATCCCTTGTGGCAAAAACCTGAACAAAGAAATCACAGTCATAAGCATCAATAACAATAGCAATAACAATGAGCAAGTCAAAAGGGTTTAGTGCTTTGATTGAGTCATTCATAGACATCAAAGAGTGTACTTATATTGTTTGTCATGAAATAGACAAACTTTGTGGTATGGATTAGGAATAATAGTGTCAAAGGTGCATGGAATTTGTAACTCATTTTACGTTTCAGTATGAGGACAATAAGAGATCGACAAGAAGGCACAATCTCAAGCTACACCAATTGTCATGACATGTAATATACAATGAGGTGCATTTTTGTTATAAAAAGAGGAGTGCTACATGGTGACATTGTAAGAGACAATGCCTTACAAATCTAAAAGTACAAAATGACGGGTTAAATCATGTGTGACCTTGAAATGACAAATGACAACAAACAAGGAAAATTGACAATTTTGAGACCTAAAGCAAGAAAACAGCTCAACATAGCTTACCTTCACAAGCACTGCACACAACAGAAACCCTGAAACCACAACAGAGAACTTATCATCAGTATACTAGAGCCTGTCAAAAACAACCTTAAAATGTCGAAAGACAGTTAAGTGAAGTGAGGAAGCTTACCCAAGTAAAACATCTCGGTGACAAGACGCACAAAAACACATTTGCAAGTCATCTCTCTTTCGTGTAAGATAGAGAAATACAGCTCTCTTACGAGAAGCTTTCAATTGTCTCTTTTGATGTTTGGTATAACGATCAGGTTTCTTCAAAGGTGGCAGATTAGTTTTCTCTGCATTTTCCTCATACTCTTTGATCAGATACAAAGGAATCCGTGTTTCAATAAACCAATATTTTTCCTTTCCATCTTGGGTTTCTTCTTTCTCAATAATACTCTTCAAGAGGCGAGAAGAAAGATGTTTCTGCTGTCCAAAGACTACTCCATACAAAATCTTATTTTCCACAATCTTCTTGCCACAGACCCGGGCATTCCTAAAAGCAAAGGCTTCTGTTTCTGGACCTTTCCCATCCTGAAGATTTTGCTCGGGACGAAGAAGATCAGTCCACTTTATATGATAATCTAAATATCTCACCTGTAGATGTCATTTTATTTCAGCTTATTGAACTACAAAGGAAAGTTAATTGTGAAATACTATGACATTACTCTCTCTCCGTCAGGAAGTAATTGTCACATGTTTTTATAGAATGTCTGGAAAAAGGTGTAAAACAAGGGTTTACAATTTGATTTCTTGAGAAGTCAAGAACCCCCCCCCCGCCCCACACACACACACACACACACACACGCAATAAAAAAAAAAAAAAACAAAAACAAAAAACAAAAAAAGGGAGGGAATAAATGGAGAGGTGGACAGAGCAACCTGTTAAAAAGGTAATTTTAGTAAAATATTGGTTTATTGAACAATGTGACAAGTACTTTCAGATGGAGTA